TAAATAAAACTTGGCACTATCTACCAAATGAGTTGGATCCAAGACCTTGCCATTGTTAACAAAGATATTCATGTCCCATATTAGTTTAAATAAAATAAGAAATTCTACTGTGAGGAGGGATTGATTGATCCTCTTGTGACAGATGGAGGAGTTTTTCCCTTTTCTAGTCTTCAAGGATTTCACGGGACATTTTGTATCAAAGCCCTGTTCGTTTTTCAGAAAGTTACTTATTCGAGTAGTATTTTCCAAGAAACATGTACCCGGGTAAGAGTGTTTATCCATATTCTTTTATTTCCAATGTAAATAATAAAATAACCTTTTAGCTATAAAAACATTATTAAAAGGAGAAATTTTGTCCATACAAGTGTTGGAAATTTCTCCCTTGAGTGGGAAAGTTATTTATCCATTTGGGAGATGTGTATCACTTTGACTTACCATCTTAGTTAATAGGAACCAAAATCCCATTGACCAACTCCCCCTCGAAATAAAAAAAAAAAAAAAAAAAAGGGCTCTGAATAACATTTAGATTTAAACCAATCTAGGCATGCATGCAAATGACTCCAGCATAACGACATTTGAAGAAGAGGTGCTCCCATGTTTCTATTGCCAATTGACAAAGAGAGATCATTGCTTTTCTAACTCTTGAAGGAACAATAGTTTATCTTATATATATATACAAAGCTTAAGAAGAAGAGAAGGAGGAAGACACAAAGAATTTAAAACTAAGAGAGTCAAAGAAAGAGACTGAGCCTCATGAGCAAGCGGGTCAGCTGTCTGGTTTGACTCATGGAACACATGATGGTACACCAGCCCCCACTCAAACAAATCTCGCATCAGAATGCAGCTTGAAATCACGTTCCTTAGTTTCCAAGGAGTCCTCACCTTGTGCTTGAGACATGATATGACCAGCTTTGGATCATCCTCAATGATAATTGGTTGATTCTTAAAATTTAAAGCCATAATATGGATTTCCCAAGCAGCCCAAGCTTCCACTTGATTAATAGTGCATAAGTGAATCTCATAAGCTTTAGTGTCTAGAACTTGATCCAGCTGATCACGTGCTATTCTTGCAAACGAACACTTTCCTTCACTATTGCAAGACATGTCGAAATTGATTTTAATGAAGCTAACATTTGGATATTTTCACATGATAGTATTCCAAATTTTCTCATTAAGCTCCACCACTGGGTTCTTCGACCCTCCAAAATGTTCCAAGAACATGTTAAGTGCCCTTTCCAAAAGAATTAGTGGGGGTGGGGGGTACCCATATTGATAACTGGATTTCATAGTATAAACTACCTTTTTGGATCCCTTCACAAGAGGCAATCCGAGGGTAGAGAAGGTGATATGATAGTCTAAGCAATATGATTAATGAAAATTTCCAATTAAACTTAGGAGCAGTTTGGTTGGTTCGATGATTACAAATAACTCAACCAATGTGAAAACCCAAGGCCCTTGTGACAACAACATACAAAAAAAAAAATAGCTATCCAAAAAAGGGGAAAAAACAAAACAGAGGAGTGTTAATGGTTAGGGCTCTAGTGAAGGGAAAAATAGGGGTAATGAGGTGGCAAAATGAGAGGACTAGAAAGGGTATAATGAAGAGAGAGAGTGAATGAAGGAGAAGGCCCAATTGGGGTAAGGGAGAAAGAAAAGGTCATCTGATGCGGTATTCTTTGTTTTAACATATACTAATAGATTCCCTCATTCAAACTAAAAATTTCTGAAAACCCGAAACCACTCCTAATTTATTTTCGTGTTCTTGCTCAACTCAAATAACAAAAACCGTGCTTTGAGGCCAAGTTACATGATATGGTGAAAACTTTCTTTGCTATGAATCTCTATTTTATACACAAAGTGCTACCAATTATCTCTGCTATTTATAAGGCCAAGTTACATGATATAGTGAAAACTTTTTTTGCTATGAATCTCTATTTAATACACAAAGTGCTATTAATTATCTCTGCTATTTATAAAAAAAAGGGTAAATTGCTAAAACCTCCCTCGAAGTTTTTGACTGTTGTTGAAATATCTCCTGAAGTTAGGTAATTGCAATAATTTCTCTTGAACTTTCTGGCATAACTGCAAGTTGACCCCCTTTGTTAGAATCCTCTAACAAAAGGAACAAAAATGTCCAAAACACCCATGCAATTACTATTGAGGTTGATTTTAGAAAAAAAAAATGATATAAACATTATGAACAAAAAAAATAGGAAACAAAGGAGAGTTTAAAGCTACAACTTACTTTTGAGCGATTGAAATGAAGAGCAAATTTAAAAAATAAATCAACTTTAGAAAAGAGATCGGCAAGGTTTGGGGTAGCAAATGATATAAAGAGAAATTTTGGAAAATAAACATTTTGGTCAAAAGTAACTACATGGGTATTTTGAACATTTTCATGCCTATTGTTAGAGGATTCTAATAAAGGGGGTCAACTTTCAATTGTATTAGAAAATTTAGGGGAGATGATTGCAATTACCAAATTTCAAGAGAGGTTTCAACAATGACAAACTTCAAAGGGAGGTTTTAACAATTTACCATATAAAAAATAGAAGTTGATTCCTTTTTTAATCACAATCTTTCGAACTTGATGGTATTATTGTTGCATTGAAATTTTAAGTTTCCTAGTATAGGTGAAGATAGGGCTGTGCATTTGGTTCAGTTTGGTTTTTAACTGAACAAATCGAATTTTATAAAACCGAAATACTATATTCCAAAACTGAACCGAAACCGAACTTCACCTAAACCGATCAAACCAAACCGAATTTTTTTTCGGTTGATTCGGTTAGAACCGAATTTTTGCCATTATTTGATTATTTCTTCCTATATTGTACATTTGTACTCTACTAAATCACAAACAGTCAAGTCTGAAAAATGGTCAACTCGAAAAGAAAGTTTTGAGGCAACCCATACTCTTCTAAGTTCTAATGATGAAATAACCATGGTCAATTGCAGGGATTTATAACAAGAAAAAATGGAAGAAGTTGGGTCCCAATAAGGTGAGAAGATGAAATAGCCTCAAGGGTTCTAACTATTTAGTGCTTATTTTCTTAATGAAGAATAAAAGCTGAGAAGTTCCCTAACCTTGTCTTCACGCTCTGAACCCGTCATTGTCGCGGCCTTGCCGGAGTATCACTTGCCGCTGCCGCTGGTGAGTGACTGAGTGGTGCGGCTGGTTCTAGACCGAAGAGATTCAGAGAAAACGAAGAGAAACTCAGAAATGAAGAGAAGAGAGAAGACTGAATTTTGAAGAAGTGAAGAGTAGAAGACAAAGAGAAAAGAAGAAAGAAAGTGATGACTATCATTGACCGCATAGGGAACTAGGAAGGCCGAAGGGAGACTGGAGACATGACACATGAAACATCACATGTCGAGCTCTTAGGTTTTGACGTTTTGTGTTTTGGCCTATAAAATTACTAATTTACCCTTAAAAGTTCGGTTATTTTGGTTAACCGAACCTCTAAATATCAGAACCGAAACCGAAACCCGATAATATTAAAACTGTAATTAAAAACCGAACCAGACCATTTAAATTGAATTAACCGATCAGATCAAACCGAAATCGACATTTCAGTTCGGTTATTCGGTTTCAACTGAACTATGCTCACCTCTAGGTGAAGACAAGATGCATATTGGGTTTGGGAAAATTGGGCCTAAATCCAACCTACTTGCCAAGCAGCCTAAATCCACCCATTGCACTCACAGCCCTTCTAGTTGCACATCGAGAGTATCTTCCAATTTGTATAATTTTATTTATGAGAGATATTCCCAATGCACAGCTGCAAGGGTTGTGAAGTGGGTGTAGGACACATTTTGTATGTGTTTAGAACCGTGGGTGTTTATTTACTAAATGTTTGTATTTGATTTGTTCATAAAATCGAAAAAAAAAACAATAATGAACCCGTTTATTGACAGTTAGGCATCATTAGGCACCATATCAGCCAAGCAGTGAATAAATACCTACCCGCTGGGAGGTGCTAAAATAAAGGTTCCCCCAATAGTAGGCACACATAAATTAAGGCATGTATTTTGCAATTCTCTATAGGTAAGGATCCACATAATGGGAAATGCTGAAGTGGTGCCTATTTTGCAGCATTTATTCAATAAACGCCCATGGTTACAAACACCGCCAAATTTGTGAGAGGAAATCCCTTTTATGTAAGGATGTAACTTGGGCCGGGTTGGCCCGAACCCAACCCTAACCTAACCCAAAAAAGTTGGGTTGGGTTAATGTTCGGGTTAGGGTTAGGGTTGAAATTCATGAACTAGACTTTACTTTGGGTTGGGTTAGGGTTGACCCCCTAGCCAACCCAAACCCGACTCTATAGTACATGTCATATATAAATATATGTTATATGTAATATATAACATACATTGATTTGTTTAGATGCATGATATTTGTATAGCCCCCACCATATAGTATCATGTATTTTCTTTTAAGATAATCACTTCACTTAATTCTAATAAGAAAGACTAAACCTTAATAACATTATTTTATGTTTTTTGAAAATTTTATTCTTCATCTCCTCTATGTTGGTTGCCACTTAAGAAAATCTAATGTAAGTCATAACTCATAATAAACTATAATCATTTCTGATACTTGTTTTTCTGAATTTTGTACCAAAAAAAAAAAAAAAAAAAAAAAAAAACGTCAACAAACAAATACTAATGAAACATAGGATTAATAAATGCAGTGAGAGTTAAGATCTAAAATCGAGAAATTCTATGAGGTTTTAAGGGATGGGAAGAAGGTTGGGTTAGGGTTGAAGGAATTTAGTTAAGGTTAGGGTTAAGATTGGGTTGGTCGGATTGAAGGTCGGGTTAGGATTGGGGTTTAGAACTTAGGGTTGGGTTAAGGTTGGCCTCAATCCGACCTAACCCGGCCCGAGTTGCAGCCCTACTTTTATGACAGAAGTGGGTCAACCGCGTTGCCTGCCGGCCCGCCCCGAGGCACATTTCAAGCGCCAACGACAATGAAGCAGCAGTGCTAACTGCTACCATCAAGCTCAAAACTAACTTAATGGCTTTACGGTTTGTACTCGTTGTAATTTAGCTTATTGAACTGGTTAGGTGACGCTGGCATCGCAGAAATTATATTATCCTCCCACGCATAACCAGGTGTGGTGCGTGCGTTGCCCTCGTGGAAAGCACGGGGACGATCTTAAGCCCTAGGTTTTGTTGCTTTCGATTTGCAGAGAGATGGATCAATGGAAGCCCGAGGGTTTCTGTCAATCTGTTCCAGCAGATCTTGCTGTTACAGATTTTCAACAGTCTTCTGCAGATCTATGCGTGCCCTCTAATCGATTACAGAGCTCGCAGCCCGATTCAAGGTCCGTCAAATTTGCTTTATCGAAAATAAGTTACTTTTTTTTTTTAATTTTCTTATTGTTTAATTTTGAATTATTTCCTATTATTACCTGGATTGATTGGATTTTGATCTTAGAAGTTAGAAGTGTTCTGCTTCATCTTCTTTCTAATTCTATTCCTCGCCATGGACATTTGGTATATAATTAGGTATATTGCAATTTGCTGTGTTATTTCTTTACCCAAACACAGTAGAAATTCCATGCCAATGATACTGGGGAGCAAAAACCGCGAATATTTTAGTGCTCGTGGTTGATAAATGTAAAGAGCTATGTGAGAAAAGAATATAATTTTGAGGATTTGCAGAAACAACATTAACCCATTTACTACATTTTGCATGGAGCAAATAAATAGGAGGGACTGCAGTTGGTTGAGAGCTAAATTGTCTTTTTATTTGTTAGCTGTAACAATTTCTATTGGAAGCTTACTCTCTCACATTCTCGAGTGTTCAAACGAGAAATACATCTATTTTTGTATTGTGATATACCGCCCATTATATCGTGAACAGTTATAATCAAAATTCTCTGTTGACTTTCAAACATAATCATTTTCATGTTTTTTAATCAACCAAATATGTTGCAATGTTTAGACATTTTAACTATTAAAGTGTTTAACGATATTGTTAGGATAAATAAATTACATTAGAATCTAATATTCTTGGGAAAAACTTCTCTTAAAGATAAATATAAAATATATTCTAAAATTACACCCAACTCAACTCGACTATATTGGTTTGTCTAAAAGATATTCGAAAAGTATTGAACCTTTATTCAATGGTAGCCCTAGCTATCTGGGGTCTAGGGAAGGTTAGACTGGATACTGACCTAACCTTTGGCATTTTTGTACAAAGTGGTTGCTTTCAGACTCAAACCCACATTATCATGTGTGTCAGTCTGAGATTTTATCATTATACCAAGCAGTGGCCCCTTAAAAGATAAACATAATATAATCTCAATTAGAAGTCATTTTGTTTGACAAATATCTAAAAGGTATAAAGTGAAATATCTTAATTAATAGTCATTTCACTTGGAATCTATTGCAATTTGGATGGGAAAGACTTATTTCTGAAATCCAAGGGCCTGGGCATGCTGCATGCTATATTGGTCCGTCCAATATATGGTATTGGCAATTTGGAAGATTCCACACAGACTTGAAGTAATGATGGCTGCATCCTTTTGGTTATCCTTGGTCCATTTTGCATTGGGAAAAACCCCTCCAGCTCCTGCTGATCCAGGGTTCCCAAAGAAATGGCATTGAGGTAAAGAGTAATCTGAGCAAACAGAACTGGTCTGGGAGGCTAAAATGAGTGGATCATCTCTGGAGTTGCATAGATGTCCTCCATCAAGTTTCTTTTGGAATATTAGCGAGGGAGATGCCTTTAAACTCCTTGTTAATGAGGATCCATAAGTTGGTCATATGAAGGACTCAACCTCTAACTCTCTATGTGCTTATTTATTTTTAAATCATTAACAACTTTTCATTAAACGTGTGAAAAGATAATTACGCATCAGACCACAACCAGCCTGGCCTTAAAGATACAATTATATTACTGCCCAAAACATCTTATTTCTAGTGACTCCTTGCTTGGCCAAGGGATCTGCCAAGCCATTTGCAGATTTTCTCACCCCAGAGAAAGACATTTCAATTTTCAACTTCCATAGCAATACACCCAATCCCCAATCTCTCTCAGGGCCTGCCTATGTGTCCACACACATCTAGGCTTCCCTTTTGAGTCCAAGAAATTACCAACAAAGAGTCCCCTTCAACCTCAACCTATCTGAGATTTAATTGCTTTAGTAGTCTCATCCCATACAAGAGAGCTACAATTTCTGCATTTAGGGAGTCTCCCAACCCTAACGGTTCACTCTCCTGGTCCCTAATAACTCCTCCCATTCCTGAGGGGCCTGGGTTGCCTATTGAGCTTCCATCAAAGGTCAGTTTGAAACTATTGCTACCCAGAGAATTCCAAACTTCTTCATCATAGCTGAATACTGTAGAAGAAAATACTAGTATAAGTAAAAAATAAAATACAATACTAGTAAAGACATTAAGGTTAAATTTTCTTTTGCAATGTCACTTAGAAAATTAAAATCACAATAATATGGTGAAATATGGGTTGGTGCTATCATTTATCATGATGGTAGAATAGGAAACCCATTTTAAATGTTGGGTACAAGTGCTAGGGATCCGTTCTTCTTGTTGTGGTTTAAGTGCATCATAAGGTATTGGCTGAAACTCTGGTTTAATCAATGAAAAGCTGAGAATATAGTTGTTTCTATTGACTGCCATTGATTTCTTCAAAAAAAAAAAAGAAAAATAAAAAAGAAAAAGGTGTCTAGATTCTAAGTTAGTCATTTAAATACAGTCCCTTTAATAGAGATTTTATACCAACATTGGGTAGTCTCTATCAAATATGCTATGACTGGTTCAAGACTGGCCTTTGAAGGGTATTATAAATAAGAGAGGTCATTTTCTTTCGAATCATGAATTCTTTGCTATGACTGGTTCAAGACTCACTTCACTCGCTCACCGAAGCTTCGAGAACCCCCTATTTGGTAATGCTGTTCATTCATTCATCCTAATAATATGTCTTCTTAAAAAGCAATTAAAACTATAAAATCATCATTTTTTTTTGTTTGAGAACTAAGAACTTAAGACCTAATGTGGACTTGTTTGGGCTTGCCTCGAGGGGCGTGGCACGGGGGTCTGGGAGCGAAGCCCCCGACCCAGCCGCTAGACACAAAAAAATAAAAAAGCATCAAAGTTTCAAAAGGCGCACGCCTGGGATGAGGCACAAGGCGCACGACTCCGCCCCCAGATCCAGCCGCTAGACACAGAAAAAGCAAAAAAGCGTCAAAGTTTTAAAAGGCGCATGCCTGGGCTGAGGTGCAAGGCACACCAGGCATGCGCCTTTTGAAAGGGCTGTGCCTAGGACCTGGGCAAGGTGCCTACCCTGAAATGCGCCTCGCTTGTACACCTAGGCGTGCCTTTTAAACCACTGATCCAAATCACATGATCTGGGGTTTGTTGGGTTGGCAATCAAATGTTTTTAAATAAGCCAATGCTATCAATCAAGGTTATCAAACAGTTTCTGACACATAAGTGTGTGGCTACAGGTTCATTGAAAAACTGTTAGATTGATTAGCATTAGTTTCTAGGATGTATGCAATTTTTAATGTGTGAGAAAAGATTTTTTAGGGAAAGTGATTCTGCTTAGAAGTAGGTGAACAGCTGTTTTCTTTCCTGTTTGGAGCATTATTTTTCTGCCACATGTAATTTTAGTTCAAGAGTTCCATTTGATGTGGGGATAATTGGATTTGTCATGTAGATGGTTTTCTTGTGTGAATGGAGTCAACGCCATAAGCTTAAAGAGAAAAAAAGGAAATGAGACAATTAGCCCTAATGTTGTCTTGTGATAGATGTCCCCAGGGGTTGAAACTTGTGTGAATGTAGATAACTTTTCCTGAAAACAATCTACTTAGGTCGTCAACCCAATATAATAAGAGTAAGACTGTCTCTGATCAACACTGTTACAAGGTATCTGACATGGCAATGTTGGAGAACCTGAACTGGCATTGTAGAAGTGTTAACATGTGTCAATAAATGTGAATATGACAATGCCTGGCATTTAAAAAGGAATGTTCTTATGTAGGCATGGATGGATTCATGTGCCTGAGTGCCTCCATCTTTCTCCTTGCATTCCCTTGTTATGATGATGCTTTTCTTGTTTACAGCCAAAGGGCTGAAGTAGAAGTCAAGGATTCTGTTGCTGCAAGGAAAGTTCAGAAGGCTGACCGAGAGAAATTGAGGAGGGACCGGTTGAATGAACAGTTTCTTGAATTGGGACATGCACTGGGTAAACTTATTCTAAATCTTTACCTCTGTAGACATGATTTTTTTTGGCTTCCTTTTTCATTTCCCTTTCCTTTCCTATGACTGCTTTACTATTTGTACATGATTTACATACATAAAACTTGAAACCAATTTTTAAAGTAAGAAAATTGCAGCATTGTTGGTTTCATCTATTTATGCCCATAACAATCTTCATGGTCTATTAATTGGAATGGAAAACCCTAAAATCCTAAAAGCCTTTCTGAGCATCTGAGTTGGTCTAACTCTGGATATCTCTATACTTAGTGGTAAAACAGAACCATTTTGATCATCTGTTGGTGCTTATGGAAAGAACTACCCTACTGAGGATGAAACTACAGTTGATTTTTTGTCATTGTTTCACTGTTGGTCCCTTGTACTAGAGCTAGGATTGCAACTTGACCTGGTGGGCCAGGTACTGGGCCTACCTAGGCTCTAGTCTGATGCCTGGTCCAACCCACAGTCAGCTAGTAAAGTCCAAGACCAGCCTGGCCCAACCCAAGGTAAAACTTAAACCCAGCACAACCAACTTGGGTTAGGCCTGGGTGGGACTGATCATGCTTAGGTGGCTGGGCTTGCCCAAATTGCACCCATACATGGAGCTTATTGGGTGAAGTGATTCTTCTTTATTCAGTACATGGGAAAATATACTTGAGTGAAGTGAAATATCAAACATTTAGTAGTCTCAGTTGAGTGATTGTAACTTGAGGGTGCCAACTAAGTCAGCTGGTAAAGCCTGTGGTTGTTGTTCCAATTTCCTGGGGATTGAATCCTGCTGTCAACAGTTTACCTTGGTCTCTTTGGCCAGCTTTCCTCTCATTCTGCCTTGGTTCAGTTCATATGATCATATTTAGTTTAACCCTATCTGCCCCACCCAGCTTGCTCCATTCTTTTAAAGAGTTGACTGTATGCTTTTGAAGGAAATCCCCATAAGAGGTTGGGTCTAAAATAACTATGGTTTTAGATCTATCTTATTTGCATATATCCTCTCATGTACTTGCTTTCACCATAAATGCCTGATACAATCAATAAAAAAAGGGTAGCCCAGTGCACGAGGCTCCCAGAAAGCTGTAGCTTTGGTGGTCTGCTGGTGCTTATGGAAAGAGAGACTTATTTGCATATATCCTCTCATGTACTTGCTTTCACCATAAATGCCTCATACAATCAATAAAAAAAGGGCACCAGTGCACAAGGCTCCCAGAAAGCTGTACCTTTGACAGTCTGTTGGTGCTTATGGAAAGAGAGAAACAGACATCTTTTTGGAGACAAGGCTATGCCTTCAGAGAAAGTGTGTGCAGCTGTGGAGAAAACCTTGGTGAATTGGATTTCCATTAACAACAGTTTCAAGGGCTTTAGTTTCAAGATGTTTGTAGAACATTGGAAATCATTAATTTGGGACGGGGATTATGTTTTGTAAGCTGTAACCTTGAGGCATCTTTTTGTATGGCTGTTTGAGGAAACCTCTCCCTCAGCAGCTTTGCTTCCTTTATTTTTAATAATACTATTATCCACCATTTCTCAAAAAAAAAAAAAAATACAGAGGCTGTTTCCAAGATTTGAACCCTGGTCACCCAGGTTGCAATGGAGCAACCCAACCATTGGGCCTGATACAATCTAAAGAGTTACCTTTTTCTAAAAACAAACAAACATACAAACAGATAAGTAAATAAAACATGTCATCTTTTTGAAGCTGTATGCCTGTATTCTAATAAAGTAATAATTGCATGTTACTTCAGAATGAAAAGAGGAACAGTAAATGGTATTACTGTTCATTTATCAAAAAAATGGTATTACTGTTCAGGTAGGATGTGGAAAATTGGTGTATATCACAAATCTTTTGCTAGTTCCTGGAGATTTGGAATGTTTACAGTTATAAAAAAAGTTTGCTTTCGGCCTAGAAGCTCTTATAGGATTTTGTTTGATGGTGTGTCTCAAGACTCAGCTCCAAAACCCCCTTCTGGGCAGTAAGCCTTCTTTTATATATTCCTGATTCTCTGTGCTAATCCAAACCATTATTTACTTGGTGAGATATGAAGTTTTTGTCACCCCTTTTGTTATTTGCACTTGTTAAGTATTGCAGTTTTTCTTTTTTTTTTACTCTTTTTCCTTTTTGTTCTGCTGCTGATTTGAGCCTACTAGGAAAATAACCATAGAACTTGCAAATTGCAGACCCTGATAGGCCCAAGAATGACAAGGCAACCATTCTAACTGATACAATACAAATGCTGAAAGATTTGACTACTCAAGTCAACAAACTGAAATCGGAGTATGCAACACTCTCAGAAGAATCACGGGAGGTGATTTTCCTTCATGGGTATTTCCGCTTTTGTTGTATCAATTTGGTAGTTTATTATTTATTAATTTATTTATTTTCAAACAGTTAACACAGGAGAAGAATGAACTCAGAGAAGAGAAGGCATCTCTAAAATCTGATATTGAAAACCTTAATATTCAGTATCAACAGAGACTCAGGGTTATGTTTCCATGGGCTGCTATGGACCCTTCAGTTGTCATGGCTCCACCTTCATATCCATATGCAATGCCAGTTCCTGTTCCTCCAGGCCCCATTCCCATGCACCCATCCCTGCAGCCATTCCCTTTCTTTAGAAACCAGAATCCTGGTGCCATTCCTAATCATTGTTCAACTTTTATCCCATATTCATCACCTGCTAATCCTCAGGGTGAACAGCCATCTACACAATATGTGCCCCCAAATGTGCAGCCAAGCAACAGGTCCCACACTTCAAGCAAACAAGATTCCAAAAGCAAGTCTTTGGACCGCCAGAGGGGCTGCAATATTGAAAAAAGTGATGATTCTAATGATGTAGCGACAGAACTTGAACTCAAGACACCTGGTTCTGCAGCAGACCAGGTATTTTTTTGGATCATTTTGTAAGGAGTAATATCTAATAACAGTATAAGAGACTAATTATGGGTTTGTTTGTAGAAAACTAATTTTCACTCTGTTGTTCTCCAGGAGTTGTCATCTGGGCAACGGAAAGGCAAACAGTCACAAAGGAAGGAAAACAGTGTTGTAGACGGTAGCTGCTCAAGCAGGTGTTCTTCATCTAAGGTTGCACAAGATAGCTCCTCCAATAGCGTGGGTGATGGTCCGAAGGCAGATAATTGAAGGACCTTCAGGTTTTTCCCAGCATCAGCATTTCTTTTAACAAACTCCAGCTGCTAACCTCATGTAGCATTTTGTGCCTTTAAACTTAGCTGAAGCTATTATCTCAGATTCAAGTTTCAGCATGTCATCTGATGTGCCTGTTAGCAAAATTTACTGTAATACATGAAAGAGGGGTACAGGAAACGACAATTAGTTTTCCTGTTTTATTTGTGTGCGAGAGGGCTACAGAAAAGATGGTTGGACTCACCATTTGACTAATCTAACTTAGAATCTCATACATCAAAAAGTCCGAAGTGGTTGGGTGAACCTTACTATATATTTTAATGTTCTCCTAGGTCAGAGAAAAGTAGTATGGCTTTGTTTTCTACTTGCTTGCCAGACTGGATGACTATAAATATTCAACTTGGTCACTTTAAGAATTAGGATCTTCTTGTCCATGTAACATATGCACTGGACCAGCAGCAGGTACTGCTCATGGTTAACCTAGTGTGACTGGGCACCATGTTGTCTGTCCTGACTTTTTCAAGCCACTGTTAGTTAAGGAGAAAGGGTAGTGGTTGGATTAATTTGTTTGTAATCTTTGAGATGTGGATGGAAGGATGAAGGAATCTGGTGCTTGATTAGATGATGAAACAGAGACTACAATGGTTACTCATTTTGCCACTAAAGGTGTTCCTAGATGAAGTAATACATATTTGTACTTTTTGTACATTGCATTTATGTTTAAGTTAAATCTTTCTTATGTTTAAACTGTCCGCACTTGCCTTCCAAATGAGTTAATGAAATCCATTTGATTACAGTTGCTCATTTCGGTTTCATCTCCCCAAAAAGTGTCTCATTTTGGTTTCATTTGTGTGTTCGGTAGTCTGTCAAATGAGACTTCTCACGCAGGAAGATGATGTTGATAATTAGGCATTAACTGGTTTGGAGCTGCTTAAGTACTTCTCTTTCCGACTTTTAGTCAGAGCATGAAGTCATGAACTATTAGTTGAGCATGTTATATTTGCCAGAATTGTCAATTGTGCGGCCTTTCGCCACTTTATCGGCTAAATTTGAGCAAATTTTCTGAGTAGAGAATCTACAGGATTTGCTAATTTATAATTACCTTGAATAGGCCTCTACCCTAACAAGCACTGCAGAGTTTGTCGTGTGGTTCAGTGATCTCTGTTATAAATTTATCTTGTATTCAACTGACATTGGGGATAACCAAAAGCCTAGTTGTGATTTATGGAGCCAAACGTTGAAGGAGGCAATCAATAGGTAGATGGAATGACCATAGCCCAGAAATGGATCCTGAGGGGGATGGGCATAACCCAGAGGGGAATGAAGCCGAGTTCTGGTAAACTATAAACGGAGTAGGTTGTGTATGAAGTTTATTGTTGAGAAGCTAAAGATGGAAGCGGGATCGTCCTGTGTTAATTTCAACTAGTAGCAAGAAAAGTAATTTGAAGCCAGGTCTATATGTTAAGCATTAACAAGGGCCTGTGGTGAGAAAGCAATACAATACAGGTTAACAAGGATATGGGATTCAATATGCAGCCTGCCCCAGTTGTTGGCCCCCGGGCCAATCGGCACATCTGTGTTTTAGCTTTGGCACTCGGGGTTTCATAATTGGAAGTGAGGTGAATTGAATTTTGTTTGTAAGAGTGCAATACAAATATGTACGACCATTCACGAAAATGCAAAGTTGGTTTAGTTTTTCACTGATTAATTCTGTATTCTTTTCAAGTGATTTTTGTTGTAATGGATACATAGATGAATTCCAAGACTTGAATTCACCTTTTTTACATTGACCAACTTTAGGCTGCATTTGGTTGTAATGCAATTTTATTTGCATTAGTACAAATGCTTGGGAGTGCAAATGAAAAGATTGCAAATTTTGGTTTAATTTTGTTTTGGGTTTTACTTTATTCTCAGATCTTATTTTACTTTATTTGCAATGCAATCAAACAAAATAATGTAAAATTTAAATAAAAAATAAATCATAATTTGCACCTAAATCATTTGCACTACCATAGTTTTGCTTTAGTGCAAATAGATTTACATAGCAATCAAACACAACCTTAAGTGCAAAATTTGAATCCATTTTTTGGATGCAAACATTGTTCTCTTTTGAATGCAAACATCTCTTGAAAGTCATAATCGCTATCATTTTAGCTACACATGCATTCTTAGTAAATGCTTGTAAAATTGAACTACAGTACAAATTTGCTTCAACAGGATTTGCACTATTACCACAGGCAGCCTAAAGAGTAAAGAATTTGAGGTCCAAGTACAGTAAGCATACGCCATTATCTTGCGAGTAGCTTATCATTATTCTCTAATCTCTACCATTTTCAATAGGGGTGAGCAAGAAAAACCAAAAAACTGAGTCTCAAAAAATTGACTGAAATCGAACTGAAAATTTGGTTGACCAAACTGGTTGGTTCAGTTTCGATTAACCAAAATAGAAAATCGGCGATTAACCGAACCAACTGGTATACATATACATATATATATATATATATATATATAAATATTATATTTTTATGCATTATAAATTAATAAATAAATCGCTCAACCGGTTAATCGATCAGCTTTGATTCGGTTTCAGTTAACGTTTTTCCAAAAACTGATAACCCTGATTCATTTAAAAAATGAGCCCATGTTTAATTAACCGAACCGTAAACACCCCTAATTTTCAATTGTTATCTGACACTGTTGTAACAGTGTCATCAGGTTGGGATGGGACAAAAAACCAGACTATGACTATGGGGAGTTTGGATCTATTCCTGACATCGACCTCATAGCATGTTCTAGCCATGCATCAGGAACATCTCTCATGAATAAAAATTTACAATTTCGAAGATGTTCCATATGCACGGCTGAAACTAACTGTGAAGTATGGTGCGTTCTGTGAGTAGCAGATTTGAATTCTGCTATGGGACCAGACTTATAAACAGATAAACTCACTGCATCAGCGGTTTATTAGTTAACTGTCAGGTCTGGTCTGGTCCAAGTCTGACAATACTAGTTGTGAGCATGATTCCTGCACAATGAAACCTAGAGCCCCATGGTGATCTATGGCAATGAAATGTATGGTTTTATGTGTTCTTCTTTTGTATTTATATTTAATTTGTCTTTAAAATCGAAAAAGGTGATTGATAAATGTTTTTCTAGTATTTATTGATAGTTAGACGCCACTAGGCGCCATTAAGCACTACATAAGTGGAACAGTAAATAAACACCTTTGAGAGAAATATTAAAATGAAGTTTCTCCAAACAGTTGATTTGTATGTAAATCGTGAGAAACATTTATAAAATAAATAGACATACGAAATAGCATGATGGGGCAAATGCCCACATGGCGATGATATAGCACGGTTTATCAAATAAATTGAAGCCATGCCAAACACCGCCTTCATTGCATTGCATCGGCTTTTGGCTACACAGTGGGGGTTAGTCTGTCCCATGCCCATAACTCCCAAATCCTCGTGATAGCGGGATTTAATCCCATTGAAAGTTTTCGCTACAACCAGCCAAAGAACTTATCAACTGAACCATCATGAGTTGATAATTGCATGTGGATTTCAAGGAAGGTAATTGGAAAACCATTGATGGATAGTGACAATCATTTTAGAGTTCTGCTACATCAGAAGAAACCTCTAACACTTGTCGACCATTCAATGCAGGGGAAATCTATGTTGTCCGAAGGCCTAGAGAGACATGATATTGGAAAAGTTCTGACCAATCAAAATCCCTTGTGAATTTTGATAAATACTCCTTGTAATTGGTTAGCATTTTTATGATACCAGTTGATTGGTTACAATTTCTTCTGGTACCATGTCTTTTTGGTATTATAATCAGAATCCTTTATTTGTAGTGGTTAGGCCATTCATCTCATCTGTAATTTCTAGATCACATTTGTGGTGGTTAGGGAATAGGGCCTATACCCAAGGTTTTTAAAACCGGACTAGACAGGGAATCATTATTGGGACCAGTTTCTGGGTAGAATGGTTTGATCGTCCAGTCTGAACGGATGACCTGTTTTGACAAAGAAATAAAAAAAAAATGGCTAAAAACCGTTGTCTAAGTTGATTTCAATGGTTCAACCACATGGGTCAGTGATCCACTGACCAAATCAATGGTTTTTGGCCAAAAAAGCGATTTTGGGGTGAAACGGAGGTCACTGATTCCTGGTTTTTCTTTTGAAAACCATGGTTTTAAAAATGACCTGGTGATCGAACCGCTCAAGGGTCTGGTTACCGGGTCGAATGGTCCAACCGTTCAAACCGAATGCTCGGCCTGTTCTGACAGAAAATAAAAAAATTTAAAAAAAAAAAAAAAAAACGGTCAAAACCGTTCGAACAATTAACTCCCCGATTCAGTGGTTCACTGACCAAAATCAACAATTTTGGAGAAAATGGAACCAATCACCCAATTTTTCCGGTCCAACCATCTGGTCCGATCCGGTTTTGAAAACGATATTGAAAACCATGCCTAGACTAAAAAGTTAGTTAAAGGTGGCTACGTGTCTCTGCGACTCAAGACCCGCTGCCCGTCAAGCTGTGTGTAAAAAAAATCCTATGTAACCAATCATGAATGATAGAGGATTCACATATGTGTACGAATTGGTGTGTTCACTCTTAATTCTTGACTAGATTATATAGGCACATACAGGGTGATGAAGAATAAATCAGTAATGTGTTTCATTGCGGATATGTTGCTGGTCACTCACCTATTTCTGGGATTGAACCACAACTAATCTCTCCAACTCTAAGGCTGTCTTTGGTTTGATTCCTTCTTTACCCTGCCTTTCTTCCTTTTTCCTGTTTCCAGTAGGACATGTTCGTCTTTCGAAACAAAAAAAAAATCTCAACACGCTTCCAAGATGTGCGGGCAGAAAAAAAAAATGTTGAAACGGTTAATGGAACCCTTCTTCATTACAAAAGAAATGTGAATAAAAAGATTTGATGGAATTTACATCTGCGCACCACAATGCCCCACAAGGTCCGGATGTGCTGTGGGGCGCAGATGTGAACTCCATTTGATGGCCTTGCTAATTTTTTCTTCTTCACACCGGTCTAATATAGTCCAATAATACATATAGTGTATTACTCCCTGGTCCCTGCATGTCATCAGTTACAAAATAATAAGTCATCAACACCATAACCACTGTTCTCGTGCGCTGTCCACGTGCTTTCTGTCTTGAAACTTTTTTTTTAAAAGAAAGAAAAAGGAGAACAAACTAGTTTGAATCTTGATTCTTTGTCGCTAATTTTCTTCATCTATCTATATATCATAAGAGAAGAATCATTCAAAATAAAAATAAAATTCAAAATTAACTAATTCTTATCTAACAATAATTAATAAACATTATTAAATTAAGAATTAAAAACCATTCAAATTCCATTGAGAATATTAAAGATTGATTTAAATACAATAAAAATAATTAAAAATGCAAATATTATTTAAAAACAAAAAGCACAAAAATAAAAATAAAACAAAAAAGAACATTGTATTTAGTAAATAAATATAAAACTAAAAGTATTGGTGCAATGTGGGTGGACCTGGGTTGAGCATTTGTTACAATTAGACCTGTTCACATGCTAGGCCAGGATTTGCCTATTTATTTAATAGAGAATGTTCAGGTCCGAGCCCAAGCCTGGCAAAGATCTTGAGTTTGAGCCCGAACCCAAAGCCCGGTTTGGACATAAAAAGTCCTACCTACATGTAATTTAATAAACCAATATATATTGCTGGGCTTATTTGTAAAAGACCGATAGGCCTAGAATTTTCAAGCCCAATAAAGAATGGGCCAGATTAGGCCAGCTTGTCAGATTACCTGGCCCATGAATAGTGATGCCGATTTCTACCTACCCAGTGGGTATTCATCCCTACTTGCCTTGACATGGTGTTTTTTTTTGCTTGAAAAACGGATTTTGAAGTGGGAACAAGTTTTGGGATTTTACAATTCGTATGAACGGGTAAGTATTGGGTATGGTATTAGGCTAAACTCGACCCTCCTAATCCGCATATTATTGGAAGGCAAATGGGTTTATGCATTAGGTGTTGAATTTAATAATATTTTGAAAATATAAAATATAATTGATAGATTATATATTTTTTACATATTTCAATCAAATAATTAGAAATTTTGATGTTTATGTATATTCTTTTAATTTACTTGTTTACTGATTCTATATAAAATTAGATATGAATTTTAGATCCAACCCACCAACCTGAACCACTCACCCTTAAATGTGGAGAGGGTTTTGTGATTTCTCACATATAGAATTGACAAAATCCTCTCTAAACCTGCCCCATTGCCGTCACTACCCATGAACAGGTATAGTTAAAAATTCAAAATTTAAGAGCCTAACCCAAGGTTTCGAAATGGATACAGAAGTTGGAAACTTGTTGGGAGTGAAACAAAAGTCGTGTTGAGTTGGAAATTTATTAAGCTTTTAATATATTCTTGAGTCTGAATCCCATGTAATTGAAATTCTTCAAAACGGTCAATCTGACTTAGCATCCCTTTGTTTCCTATTTATTCGTACCGGCGGTTCTATCCCAAAGGCTATGTTTGGTTTAAAGGAAAAGACAGAAAAACTAATATAAGGATTATAAAAATTTTCTTACCTTTTTCTTCCTTTTTCCTACATTTACCTTCAAATCAAATATAACCAATATAACCAAAATTCCCACCGCCTATAATGCAGTTAATGTTCCCTCACAACCATTGGCATTGGATGCCAAAATAGGTGCTTGATTGGCATTTGATAGACTTCAGTTTGATAGCTAAGTGGTCTCTCTCTCTCTCTCTCTGTTAATGGCGGTCCAGTGTTTGGATGGATTTGGTAGGACCTACATACATACATATCATTTGGCATTAAATAAATAAAATACATTGCATTTATGTATGTGTAAGCTCCATACTTGCATCTCCTCTGTCCAACTCTATACACTAGTGACCATACTAATGGTTTGAACTTGTATGGCGTGTGGACCCACAGCAAAAGGAGTTCAAGCGATGCCCTTAAATGAAGCCGATCAAGCTGCTCTGGCTCTCTAATCTTATACACGAATCATAAAATGAAGCCGAGAAAGAGAGTTGTGCCTTTTTGTCGGTGGAGAGAAATTTCGTGTATAATTTCACAACTTTCTGTTGATAGTTGATACTTATTACAAAGGAAATTGGGAGTGTTGAAGGAAACTTAATGTATTATTTACCTTCAGGTCATTTTATGGGCAGACAAATAGGCGTGGGTGGCCGTGGGAATTCAGCTCATAAGGCAAATTTCCTTTACACCAGTGCATATTTGCCTTTAAATTTTTATTTATCTGCACCTTAAATGGATGTTTAATATTGTAAAATTTGGTTTGCTTTTACTTTAGAATTATTGTTTGTTTGTGAGGTAGTTTTCACAATTAAGGCAGGGATAAATTTGTTTATATGAGAGCGGTGAGATAAGAAGTGAAATGAGTAAAATGATATAGTCCCCACCTCCTATGAGAAAATTAATGTAGAAAGGGAGCTGGTGCAAAATTTGTGTCTACTTTAGAAATTTACATTGGAAATTAAGATGACCCTCTGATTTGAATTCTAGGTATTGGACAAGGCAAATGATTGTATAGAGAGGTAAATAGGTAATCTTGGTCGTGTGCCGTGCTATTGAGTAGTTCACTTTCTCATCTGAGTGAAATTTATGCAACGACTGATGTGAGAACATCATCATGTAGAGACATTTAGTTACCTAAGAATGACCTTATCAATACATGAGAAGGGTATTTTTAACATTATATAATATTTAATTGACGGAATACTAATGAATAGATCTAAAGTGTCTATTTTTGAAAATTTAGGGTATTCAAGTATTGTAATTGAAAATTCAAATCATCTATCTATCACTATCCCAAAGTATAGGATACCTATATATAATTTACCCTTTTTTTAGGTAAAATCAGGAATGAAAATGAGCTGTTACTGCTACACAGTGGAAGAAGAAGATTAAAATATGTGGATGAATATGCTGTGGGAAGAATGTCTACAGAATTCAAAGTTAGTGATTGAAGGGAATTTAATTTTCTCATACTGCCATGTAAGGCGTATATGTGACTTTGTATTGTAAATCTAACTACGTACATACCATATATATATATATATATATATTCGACCATGATTTTAAAAACCGATCTGAAAATAAAACCATTTTAGCCACTGATCAGACCATCCAGTCTGATCAGATGGTTTTGGAGTCTAAAACTGAATCCGAAGCCGTAACTGGTTCCTGGGTCAATCGGGTTGATCATCTGACCCGATCCGATTTTCAAAACCATGTATTCAACATTGTAGGCGCGAACTCGGGACTCTTACTAAGATAAGACTTTCATGTTGGCATTTGCACATACCAGTCTGGCACAAAATTAAATAAGTGGCGGTAGAACAGGGCACACGGGTTCACACAATCACACCGCCACACCGGGGCTTAATCGGTCATGCATTCCCATCATTGGTCGGTTGCAGTTAGTTGGTGCATTAATGTTTAACATCTCCTCTCACACGTCACACCTCCATCTGTCTTCCCCCACGCATTAGCCTTTCTGGCTTTCCAGTTCCCCAGTGGTTTGGGGATGATGATGTCGTTCACCACTCACCTCTTTCAGCGATTGGACCACATCCACAGCTACTACTCTCTCTAACCTTTTTAGTGCCTACCAATCCGTTATCAATAAAACATGTCCAGAGTTAGATCATTGGTGTAAGTAGTATTTTGTTTAATGTGTTTGTTGGAAGGGATTTTTGTTGGGAACAGATCCGGTCTCGTTGGTTAATGAATAAAAAATATGTGATGAATCAGAAGATTTAATGGCCGTCTCCTACATTTTTGTTCTTCACACCAGCCCAATATAGTCCAATAATATATATAGTAATTAAGTGTATTACTTCTCTGCTTATCAGTTGCAAAATAGTATACAATTCATCAACCATAACCACTATTCTCATGTGCTGTTCACGTACTTGCTTTGAATCTCGACCGGTTCTTTTTCTTTAATTTCCCTCTATTATGTATCTAAGAATGATGATAGTATTAGATTAAAGTGAGGGAGTAAAAGTGTTAAACCAAACCGGCAAGCCCTACTTTGTCTATGTGACTTTCTCTTGAGTCTTGGTTCTTCTTCACTTAACATTATTAAACACAAGAAAGATTTCATATGCAGTACTGCAGCAACGGAAAGACGATCGAAAGATGCACAAGGGGCCATGTTGAACCGAAAAGAGTATTTGCCTTAACGGCTGAAACTAGATTATTATACGCTTGAAAATTTTATTAATTAATAACTAAAATATAAAGTAATAAGCTTTCAGTTCAGCAAGTTCAGCATTCAGTGTCAGTCACCTAAAAAAACTAGATCTTCCATTCCTACCACATGACACGACTCACAAAATTAGCAAAAATAAAGATAAAATGTTCCACCTCTTCTCCGATCAGCTGAAAACTCAGCACTGAAAGGATAAATTAAAATATGAATGAACTCTGAAAAGTATGATAAATATAACAAGACCTGCAGACGTCGATTAACGTAAGCATCAAATCATGGTTTGTGTGAGTGTGTTTTTGTCGTGTTTAATGTTTATATGTATATATATATATACACACCAGTCACCAGGCAAGAAGCAACCCAACAGCTGTTCCGATTGCTACGTCTCTAGTTCTCTCCACTTGTTATGTGTGCACTATGTACCTATGCCCACGCCACCGACAATAATATCATCACCGTCGGCACAATTTTGTGACCAAACTACCCTTTTCCTTCCATTCTACCTATCACTTGAGGACACGCGCTTTAGGACTCTGCGTATTTAACACCATCTATTCATCACTGAACTGAAGCACTCAATTAATGCTCCATTCCGACATGTTTTTGTTTTTTGTTTTCTAAATCTAAGCAAGTCAGTCGTTTTCTTGATAATGGCCTTTTTATTTTATTGAGGACTCTTAATAATGAATTTAAAGATCCGCCAATTACGTCTTCTCTTGATTGGGCCGGTTTTCAGGGTGGATTTGGACTCAGTTTGGGTGGAACTGGAAGTGGGCCCCCAAAACTTCATGCACTTGGGGTTCGAGGTTCAACAACCATCCAAAGTGCGATCTACGCATCATTTTATCATGCAACGAATCAATTAAAGAAAAATAAATAGGATTGATTTGGGCATATTTTCCTGATGATAAGGCTGAAAAACCATCAAACCACATTACGAAAAAGAATTAAAATCAGCGCCCAAGACAACAAAAGTTAGAGATTAATTGAACATTTCTTCATGAATGTGTACTTAATATAATGCAGCCACTCAGACATTAAGTTCATGCATCTTCAGGAATTTTACAGTCCCATTCTATTCTAGTGTTCATGATTTCTTCATCCTTTATTCATCATTTGCCAACTATATATATAGTTCACATACAGAATCAACAATAATAAACAAAACTATATAAATTATAAAGAAGAAAAACAAGCAAGATTCTCCTGCTTGTTACAGCTAAAACTGAACCGAAAAAGAAAGGAAAAAAAAATCTGAAAAAAAAAGAGATGGAATAAAAACAGAAAACGGGAAGAAATTAATTAACTCTTCTTTCCATCCTCACCATCTTGTAGATAAGCCTTCTTCCTCCTCTCAGATCTTGCAAACAAGCAAATCAGGAGGAAACACGTGGCATAGATTCCATGAACTTTCCAATTGGTTTTGGGCGGTTGACGTAATACTGCTCTGTGAAACACGGTGGCATAGTAATGCAAGCCCACTGCAAAGCCCACGATGGTCTGGGCCAGCCCTAACAACTTCGACCCTAGTCGGGTCTCCGTCGAGAACACTACAACCAGGTCCATGAGCAACAACAGCAAATACATAACGTATCCTAGCGTCTGCAATACCTGCAAGCAAATGTAGCTCGACTGTGATGTCGAGTAGAAGAACTTCAATGGCTCCAGCCCCGTCACCAACGAGGAGAAAGCGAGGATTAAGAAGTAGATTGACAAGTACACTTGAATCAAAATTACGATTTGCTGCAGAGAAAAGTAAGCTTTCATTCGGTTGAAGACGAGGGAGACAAGGAGGAGGGGGACTAAAACGAAGACGCAGGAGATCGTCGAAGCTATGGATGGTGCATATTTGCTACCCACATAGGGCTTCACCCCTTTCGTTATTTCTTTGTTGGCTCTGCTGAGATAGACTTTGGAGGTTGTTGAGATTCTCTCAAGGTCTGGGATGAATGACTGATGGATTTTGGAGGGTAGATCTCTGAATTCCGAGACTAGATCGTCTTCCTCATCTTGATCAATCTTCATGGGCTTTTGGGTTTTCTCTTGCTTCGCATTTTTCTCTGCAACCTGTTTCTTTTCTAAGGTTTTGGATTTAAGCTCACTGGAATTCTTGTCGGTGGTTGTTTGCGACTGTTTGGCGACAACTGTTTTATTCTTGGGTGTGCTTGGTTTCAGTAGATCTGGGGATTTTTTAATCAAAATTGGATTGGATTTGGTAGAATTTGAGCTTTTTGAGGTGGAATTTAGCTTCTTCAATTGGGTATTGGAAAGGATTGTACCAGAAGATGCTGTTGCCTTCATTGAACTGGTTGTGGGTTTGATGAGCTTGGCTTGGTTCTTGGTCAATAGGTTGGCTTTCTTCTTGGGCTGCTCTTCCTCCTCCTCCTCCTCCGCCTCCTCTACGAGATTTGTCTGACTTTTAGTGGATTTCTTCTTAGGTTGCTCCTGCTCCTCCTCCTCCTCTTCAGTGAGCCCAGTCTGTACTTTGGTGGATTTCTTCTTTGGCTGCTCTTCCTGGTCCTCCTCTATTAACTTGGTCTGGCTTTTAGTAGACTTCTTCTTTGGCTGTTCTTCCTCATCGTCCTCCTCTATTAGCTTGCTCGCGCTTTTAGTAGACTTCTTCTTCGGCTGCTCTTCCTCGTCCTCTATTAGCTTGGTCTGGCTTTTAGTCGACTTCTTCTTTGGCTGATCTTCGTCCACATCAATGAGTTGCGCTTTGTTTTTTGTGGTTGTCTTCTTCTCCAATTGCTCTCCCTCCTCCATGTCAATAAACTTGGTTTGGATTTTGGTGGATTTCTTCTTTGGTTGCTCCTCTTCCTCCATCTCAATGAACTTGCTTTTTGTTTTGGTGGATTTCTTCTTTGGCTGCTCATTTTCCTCCTCCATTTCAATAAGCTTGGGTTGGGTTTTGGTGAATTTCTTTTTCGGCTGGGCTAGTAGCTCCTCCTCCTCCTCCACCTCCTCTATCTCTAACATTCTTCTCCCTACAAAACGATTTCTCTGGGTTTGAGTCTCTGAGAGGGCAGAAGCGAGAAGGGAGGAAAAGAGAAAGAAAACAAGGAACAGAAATAGGAATCCTCTGAAACTGAAGTACTGAGTGCCAGCCATTTTGAAAAAAAGTGGTTGTGTTTCAGAGATAGAATGGGCTCTAAGATGAGATATATAGATAAAATTGGATCTCGAATTTGCTCATCACAGAGAGAGAGAGAGAGAGAGGGGGAGGAGGGAGATGGACGGAGGAAAAGGACTTATATATATGTGTGTGTAAAACGAAAGATTAAAGTTTAAAGATGATTTAAAGCCAAAGTAAGTAGAACTTTTGGACATCGGAAAGGAGGAGAAAGATGAAATCAGTCACAAAGTCACATGGTGCAAGTAGACAACGAGAGACCATTGACGCGGTTTAACTCTCACAGCCTCACTAAGCCACTAGGCGAAATAAACAAAGACATGCTTCTTTGGGTGGGACCCTGGTCAGATTTCTTGAGCTTTCTTCTTGATCAGAATCGCAAATTGCCTCGTCATCTTGACCATATGATCAGCGATTTTTGTTGACCTTTCTTGGTGCATGATCACCTGATTTCTGTTCTAATCATGCAATCGTTTAAAATAAATGAGAAAATTCACCGGCCTGTCTCCGTTTGGATTGACCTACGGTACGTTCATCCAGAATCTCTTGGACTTCGAGACTGGACTAGAGGCCTCAGTTCACAAGAGTCGCTGATTGACCACCGTGTTGATTCAATATAAATGTTTAGGCCCAGTGGGCCTCCACCGCCGTCAGATTCGTGATCTAGGAGTAGTTTAAGGAGTCTGAACCATGCTTGAAATAGTTGACTCTAGGGCTAATGGGCAATTAGCCATTTAGCCTACTATTTTATTTTGCTTTCACATCAGGGATTCAGGGTCTACTTACTACTCTTACAGTCTTACTCTATGATATCATGGTATGGCAGTTCATTCCATATCACATCTTACTCTCTTACAGTCATTTATTTAGGTAGATGCAGGGCCCACATTTACACAAGTGCAAGGTTTCTAGGTGAGAGGGGTGTGGGGTCAGTGATTAGGGCCCCGTGCAAGCTAATTAGCTAAAGAAAAGAAACGGGTCCCTTCGGGTGGGTCCCTTCACCCACCAGAATTTTTGTATTAATAAAAACAGCTATACTCCTTTGTCTTCATTTATTTATTTGTCTTTGATAGATAAGATAAGCTACATTCCTTGGGCCATAAAATATGGTATGGCACATTGTTGATCTTATTTACGAAAGCCCATTTCCATTCCAATTGGAAATAAATAAATCCTCTGCAGTTTCCATGACTGATTTCATGTCGAAAACGTGTAGATTTTCCGAGTCAATGAATAGTAGACAAGGTCGAGATCTCTTCAGACCGTTGCCATTTGAATCCTAATTGAAGCCAAACCCAAAATACGCTTATCTGCTTCTCATTTTCATCCCTTTGCAAAGTTTCAGCAAAACAGATATTCCACCATTTAGTTGAGAGAAGAATGATCTTATACTGCCAAACCAGTGCCTAGGAGATGAAAGGACACAAACTCTGATTTTTAGATTTATATCTTAAATTCCTAAAATGTAAATCCTAAATTCTAAACTTTAAACCCTAACCCTAAGGGGGTGTTCTTTTTTTGAATATGGAGAAGGGAGAAAGTTGGTCAATGGGATTTTGGTTCCCATTAACCAAGAATTCCATGTTCTTTTTTCAGTTTTACATAGCGACCGGGAAAAGTTTATTTTCCTAGGTATCACTTACCCAGGAAAGTGATACCTATCTCCTAGGTGGGTAAATAATTATCCCATATAGGAGAAAAGTTGTCAACACTTAAATGAAACAAAAAATAACTCTATTAATAATGAATTTCTATGGCTAAAATGAACATTGCCTCATTTACCTGAAAAATAAAAGAAAATGGGTAAATGCATTTACCTGGATAAATGTTTCTCAAAAAAAACTTATCCAGATAATTGCATTTACCCGGATAATTAACTTATCGAAAAACGAATAGGGCCTAAATCTTAAACCTTAAAAGTCTAAAATCTAAATTCTAAACCTTTAAATCCTAAATTCTAAACCCTTAAATCGGCAGAGACCACGCTATTAGAACCTGGTGTGTAAATTCGTTTGGTATTAAACATCAAAACACCTGCTGCTGTATTAGACCATGTGTTACTAATAACAGGACAGTAATGCGGTGCAGGACATGGTGGCAGGGCTGACATGGATTATGTGAACACAATAAATGTGGTTGTAAACACATCGGATTCGAATGGTATAAATCTAGACCCATTAATATATATCAAATTTAGATTGGACTTGGGTATTGTAATTTGTATATCTTTAATAAAGTTAAATAAAAAAATCATAATATTAACAGATAAATATATTCGAATTTGACTTGGGACAAACAGAATACTATTTGTTGCCTTTCACGGTTGCTCTAGGGGAATAATAAGCAGTATTACCAGTCGGATTGATTGAGGCGTAGCTAGTGTTATTGGTAGATAAAGAGCAGTTTGGGTTCTTTCCATTCCCATCAGCAAGAATAAGTATATGGCTTCTCCTTGTGAATTGAGGAAAGAAATGATAGAGAGTTATATTGCTTAGAGAAAAGAGATCAAACAATGGGGACTGTGACATTGACAATTTGGATCCTTTTGGGACTAGGAGTGAGACTACTCAGAAGAAACCTAATCTAGCTTCAGTTCATAAAGAAAAGTAAAACTGAAGGGGACCAAACATGGCATTTCGACAAGCAATTAATTAAAGGAAATAGCCAAATGTTGTCAATTCTTTCAGTTGTTAATATAATACGGTAAAACATAGCAATAAGCAGGTTTTCCAAGGGATAGATCTGCAAATTGATTCGTATTCCAAGGAATTCATGAAGTTACAGAGGTAGGTGACGGTTGACAATTTGTCTGAAACTTCTACACCAACACCATTCTCCTTAAATATCCTTCTATCCTGTTGGTTGGTAACGTCAAAAAAATTCCTTAACCACATGATCCCATGCTTCCAGCAGATAATGGCGTCATTTCCGTCTGTCTATTTAGTTAGAGCTTAGAGAAAGGCAACCATCTGAATTTGGAATTCAATTTCTCTATAACGTCATCTGTGTACAAAAATCCCTACTGGAAACCAATACATACAGTTGAAAGAAAAAGGAAAAAAAGTAATTTCATTTTGCTCCCATCTTTCTTCTTCTACATAGACTTGCTCACTCCCCTTTTCACTGAAATTTGTGTTAATGCCGTTAATTAACATGTATGATTCTCTGTATTTCAAGCTGATAATTCATGATAACTAATTCGAATTTCTTAATTTCATGATGAAGAATAAGAATAACCTCCATGTGAATTGTAGTTGGGTGGCAAAACTTGACAAAAGAGTAGTGCATAACAAGGAAGGACATGCAACTCTTACAGCCTACTACATAAGATGAGTTCCCATGTATTAGATTATGGTTTCTTCTGGCCCTAATCCAAGTCTAACAATATCCCTTCTTAGTTCCGACTAGATCATTTATGCTAAATAAATTTTAGGGGATGTTTGTTCTTTGGATTTTGAGAGGAAAAAAATTGGTTAATGGGATTTTGGTTCTCATTGACCAAGAAACCTATATTCTTTTTTCAGATTTTTGTAGGGATTAGTAACTTACTGGATGGTTTTAGGTTAAATTACAGAATTACAGAATTACAGAATTCTGCCCTTCATTTGCAACAAACCCCTTTTTAGCCTCAAATTGCAATTTTTAATAATTAATTTTTATAAATAAAAATAAAAATTGAATTAAAACATAAAATAAGTATAAAATAATACATATAACATATCTAAAACATAATTATACATTATTTATTGATAAAACATGTATTTGTACACACACAATATATATATGTATGTATGTATTTATGTATGCATGTATGTATGTATGTATGTATGTATGTATGTATGTATGTATGTATGTATGTATGTATGTATGTATGTATGTATGTATGTATGTATGTA